ACTCTTTCCTGCCTAGGTAGGGGGTCGGACTCGATGATATGTTGAGGTCCCTTCCGACCCTAACATCTATGAATCTCTGAAACAAAGACTATATAAACAGGAACATGATAGGTAACCAGAGGTGGTGTTTATGAAAAGCAGAAAGGATAATGATTTACTGAAAATTTTCTACTTGAGGAGAATGTCCAAATAGGCATGTAAGAATGATTGACAACTAGGATTACTTAAATTAGGGGTTAAAGAAAAACATAATGTCAGTTTTCAGTTGTTTGTAATTATCTAAATCCATCTTTGTCTGTGTTTGATCCACCTCAGTCACTGAGTTACTCCTGAGAACCCAAATATTGGAGGAACCTAATAAGAATTAAGATAATAGTGTTTATGAGCAATTACACAAACAATTATATTACAAGTAAATCAGTTATATAAAAAGGACAAAACGCATTTTTCTTATTTTGCAGTGAAAAAGACAGCTGAGAGGAGGAAGAAAGCTGTCACTGCTACAACATCTGAGAGTACCGCAGAGGATGAAATAAAGTCTGCAAGATCTACAAATAGGGTTATAACATCATTTTTTCTTTAGAAATTGATTAAGTCTGTTCAGATGATCTAAACATCTAGACACTGAAATATTCTATACTACTTTCAACCTTTATTTCAATGTCCCACCATTCCCCTATCCACCAATTTTTTTGCTGTTGATAATATATGTACTGAAATTATAGATACATTTAAAATAAAATTCTCAGTTGCTTCTTACATTTACATTTTTACATTACAGCCTACACCTCAGTTGCTTCTTACATTTACCTCCTTTTACTACAGCTGCTACTGTAACTTTCTACATCTTCATTAGGTTGTTTTTCCTACAATCTTCTTCCTTCCCTGGACTTTGCACGCAATATCATTCAGAGAAATAGAAATAACTAGTTTGCGTTCTACATCCAGATATATTTTTTTTTTAATCAGGAAGTATGCTACACACATGAAACATAGAATATTCTCATATAGAACCCAAACTTGTTTTTTAAGAAATATGAGACAGATTTTGAAAATTGTGCAGACATTTGTAGAAATGAGGAGTTAGATGCCAAGTAGCTAATTATACAACTCTCAGGATAGACAGAGAGCTACATATAAAAAGAGGAATGACCCAAGACAACCGCACTGCTGTGACTGGATTTATACTTCTAGGGTTTTCTGAAATCCATGAACTCCAGCCTTTACTCTTCACAATGTTGCTGTTCCTATACATCCTTACCCTGATGGCCAACACCCTGATTGTTGTTGTAATAAATGGTGATCACACCTTTGACACCCCCATGTACTTCTTTCTCACTCATTTGTCCTGCTTGGATGTTTGCTATTTGTCAGTCATCATCCCCATAATGTTGGAGAACCTCCTTGTGCAAAAGATGGGCATTTCCATGGTAGGATGTGCTATACAGATGTTCCTTTTCCTTTTATTTGGTGTTGCAGAGTGCTTCCTCCTGGCTGCCATGGCATTTGACCAGTATGTGGCAATATGTTACCCCTTGCACTATGGGGTAATTATGAGCAGGATTGTTCGCAAGAAGCTGGTGGTTGCTTCGTATGTGTGTGAGACAGCAGTGGGACTGGTACACACCATCATCACCTTCAGCTTGCCATTCTGTGCCCTGGTCATCAACCATTTCTTCTGTGAGATCCAGCCACTACTGGAACTTCTCTGTGGAGATACTTCCCTCAGTGAGATTCAGGTTATTGCAGTGGCTGTGTTTGCCATCATGGTCCCATTCCTGATGATCATTTTCTCATACCTTCCCACCATCCTGAAGATGCCCTCAGTTGAAGGCCGGCATAAAACCTCCACCTGCTCCTCGCACCTCCTAGTGGTGATTCTCTTCTATGGCACAGCAAGTTCCACATATTTACAACCCAAATCCAGCTACTCCCCACCTATTGACAAATTGCTCTCCCTGGCTTATTCTATCTTGACACCGCTACTAAACCCTATCATCTATAGTCTGAGAAATAAGGAAGTGAAAGAAGCACTAACGAAACAGTGGAGGAAATTTATTTTTCCATGAATATGAAAGGGAAATGGAGGAAAAATGGTATCTCAATGATTCAGTGACACTTTTATTCTAAATTTAGCTCAGTTGAACTAATCCCCAAAACATTCAAAATCAAGTTTTCATTGTAAAATTTTCTTCTTGTAACCAATTCTAAGTTATTACAAAGGCTCATCAAAATCTTGAAATTTTACATTGCACAACAAATTAGAAAAAAAAAACATAACATGCAAATGATTTTCTGTTTTTATCTGAATTCTTAACTTGTTTTTTTGTATGTGTTTTTGTTCATTTTGGATTTGGGGTTCTTGGGTTTTTTTATGTACAGAAATTATGAAAAGGAGCATAAAGAACTTGATTGATGGTTAATTCATATGTCCTGGCCTTAAGGTTGAACACTTGATTTCTCATTTCTTAATGTTTATTTAGGGCCAATAGTATACATTACACTAAACTTGGTTTAGTTTTTGTGAATGAGAATTCTCATTTTGTGAATGAGAATTAGTTCTGGATTCTCATCACTTCAAATAATAAAGAAGTCTCATCACTTCTGATAAATTACAAAATGTGCTACTAGGATCTAAAAGGAAGGCATGCTGAAGAACTCTTCTTAGGAGGTAGTTAATTAATGGCATTGTGTCCTCAAACACTTTAGGATATAAGTAATGTGGAAAGTCTGATTCTTTACTTAGAAGTCTGCACATTTTGGAGTTATGCTGCATTTATAACGCATTAACTGAAGTCGAATTTGTCCCAGAGAGATACCTCATATATATGAGAGGTGTATACACACACACACACACACACACACACACATACACACACACATATAAATATACATGTATGTATGTATTTATATACACATATATATGTATGTATATATGTACACACACACACATATACATACATATATATTTATATGCGTGTGTGTATGTGTGTGTGTGGGTGTATACACCCACACACACACATACACACACTTAACTAAGGTAGAACCTGTCCTGATCATTACTACCTTCATCATCATTGCTATTGTTTGCTGAAATAATTATTCTATATAGCATAATGTATATTAGATTTTTTAGATCTTCTTCTTTTTATTATATACTTAAATAGTAAAATGTGCAGTAGTAGAAATCCTGAAATATGTATTCGCTTATTTCAAATGCCTTCCTATATATATATATATATATTCTTAGCCTAGATATTGCCAATGGACTCCGTCTGCTTTAGAAAACATTGTGGCATTGTTTGACATGACTGAAAAAGACAAATATTAACTCAAAAGTTTAGTCAAAATTATTTGATTCCAGATGTATATTTTTGGCATGTCATTGCACATTTAAATATAAAAAGGAAATACATTTTCATTGTTTTTAGTTAATTCCCCTAACCCCTCATAATTCAGTGTGGAGATGTTATGATTGGGATATTATAAAATATATTGATCCAATTCTTCAGACAGCAAAAGTTCATGCATACAAGTGTATACATATGCCTATGCCAATCAATTACAGAAGGATAACATTATCCCTGTTAGTTGAAAGCAACAGAAGGCTGCTATCCTTTATGTACAATAGTCAGTAGTCATTACAGGGAAGTTCCATCCTTAGTATATTACATCAATAATAAATGGGAATTAAATGTCTAAATTTGGACTGAGCTTTTGAAAATATCTCTTTTGAAATAGACAACCAAAAATATATACCTTATTGTTGGATTTTGGGGGGGGTTGTTTCTGTTTGTTCTTTCATAGTTTCATAGTTGTTAGGAGTCAGAAGGGACCCCAATAGAGCATTAAGTCTGACCCCCTACCCAGGGCAGGAAAGAGCATTGGAGTCAGATGACCCCAGCCAAGTGCTTCTCTAGCCTCCTCTTAAAGACCCCCAAGGTAGGGGAGAGCACCACCTCCCTTGGAAGCCCATTCCAGATTCTGGTGATGCTAACCATAAAGATGTTCTTCCTGATGTCTAAACTAAATCTCCTTCCAGCCTTCCTATGTAGAGGTTGAAGACATTCAGGTCCCTCAGTCTCTCCTCGTAGGGCCTTACCTACAGGCCCCTAACCGTATGAGTGGCCCTCCTTTGGACCCTCTCAAGGTTACCCACATCCCTTTTGAAGTGCGGCACCCAGAACTGGATGCAGTACTCCAACTGTGGCTTGACCAGTGCTGCATAGAGGGGAAGTGAACTATCACCTCCCTGGACCTGTTCGTGATGCACCTGCTAATGCTGTACTGAATACTTCATCACATTGACAGCTCATATTCATCCTGGAGTGAACTATGACTCTGAGATCCCCCACTGTGCTATTGAGATGGTTATCCCCTAGCCTATAGGTGTGTTGGTGACTCCTTGTCCCTAGATCAGGGGTGGGCAAAATGTGGCCCATGGGCTGGATGCGGCCCACCAGGACGTTCTAACCAGCCTGTGGGGCCCCTAAAAAATGTAGAGAATTAATATTTATCTGCCCCTGGCTGCCTGTCATGCAGCCCTTGATGGCTTGCCAAAACTCAGTAAGCGGCCCTCCACCCGAAATAATTGCCCGCCTCCTGTCCTAGATGCATCACTTTGCACTTGTCTTTGTTGACCTGCATCCTATTCTTTTCTGCCCAATTTTCCATCCTGTCCAGATCCACCAGGATTTGATCCCTTCCCACTTGTGTGTTTACTGTACCCCATAATTTTGTATCATCCACGAATTTGGACAGGGTGCTCTCCATGCCCTCATCCAAGTTGCTGATGAAGACATTGAATAGCACAAGTACAAGGACTGAGCCTTGAGGGACTCCACTGTCCACATCCTTCAGGTCAATACTGACCCGCCCACCCCCACTCTCTGGGTGTGACCCTTAAGCCAATTTGACACCCATCTGACTGTGTAATCATCTATGTCACAGCTGCTCAGTTTGAGAATAGGATGAGATACCATATCAAAGGCCTTAAAATTCAAGTCGATAACGTCTACATCAACTCCTGCATCTAAGCATTTTGTGACCTGGTCATAAAAAGAAGCAAGGTTAGTCAGGCAGGATCTACCTGCTATGAACCCATGCTGATTGCCCTTCAGCATTATTTTTCCCTCTGGGCTCCCACAAATGTGATCCTTGACCATTTTTTCCAAAGGTTTTTCCAAGGATAGAAGTGAGATTAACCAGCCTATAATTACCTGGACCCTCCTTCCTTCCCTACTTGAAAATAGGGACCACACTGGGCCTTTTCCAGTCCTCTGAGACCTGACCTGAGCACCATGAGTGCTCAAACAGCCATGCCAGTAGCTCTGCTATGACACTGGCCAATTCCTTCAGCACCCTTGGATGAAGATCATCCAGGCTTGCTGACTTAAACACATCCAGCACCTCCAAGTGTCCCTTTACTAGGTCGATACTGACCGTTGGTGGGCTGGTGATCCTCCTGTGCCTATCTATAATTCAATTGGGAGATTTCTCTTGATCCATGTTCAAGAATACAGAGGCAAAAAACTCATTGAAGAGTTCAGCCTTGTCTCTCCTATCTGTCAGCAATTGCCCTAGCCTGTCTAGTAGGGATCCTATGTTACCCTGTGCCTTCTTTTTTCTCCCTATATACCTGAAGAAGGACTTTTTGTTGTCTTTAATTTTTTTCGCCAGCCTGAGTTCCATTTCAGGTTTGGCCTTCCTAACTGACTCCCTGCAATTGCAAGCCAAGGATGTATACCCCATGCTACCACAGCCTCTATGCCACTTTCTTTGCCCCTAGGCTTTCCTGAATTTCCCTGTTCAGCCAAGAGGGTTTCTTGGCCCCTTTGCCCCTTTTTGTGCACAATGGGATTGTCTCCTACAATTTTCTTTGTTTTTTTCCTAATTTAAAAGTGAGTAGAAAGTAAGTCAGAGACTGAAAAACTGACCCTAAATTATTTGTACTACCTTTACAGATCTAATTACCATAACATATTTAACATAATGAAAAAGAAAGATTGGGTAGGTTTAATGCCTTACACCACCAAGATGGTGTCATGCTAAAATTAAACACTGCACCTAACCCATTAGGCATGTGTTTTGGATGTGTTATGGCATGTGTTATGGATCCATAAATTGGACACATATAAGGTATGTTGCAAATTATGATGTGGTTACCATGCTAAGCATACCATAGATGGAGCAATTGCCAGGGCCCTTAGGCACCTATGTTATTTTCTATATCTGGCTTTGGAACGTTGTACATTTGCACTATAAGCAGTAATGGAGCATGAGTTGGAGTATCTCAGTATCACCCAAATGCTAGACTTTGGCCATAGAAGTGGACAGATTCATAAAGCAGATACATTACTAGGCCTAATTCAGTGCTGTCATTTATGTGTCTCTGTGTAGCGCATGAGGAAAATGTCTCAGAATGGTATGCACAACATGTAGTATTTTCAGTGTGAGAATGCCAAATGGAAATAGAAGAAGGAGATGTGTGTTTGAAATTCCACGCATCTCCCACACTTAGGTACCTAAGTGAGAGTGACTCACAGACAACACCACCTTAATACCTTTTAGTCCAAGAAAAAAACCCAGAACAACATAAAGCAGCAAAAACAACAACCAAACAAACAACAGGGGAAAAAAAGGGGGAAAAAAAGGTTCACTCCTCCAAGAAACTTATTTTGGTATACTTCACTACCCTCCTTTTAGACAAATGTCTAGTGGTTAAATAATTTTCCCAGAAAGTAGGAGACCACTAGGCAGCCAAAAAAGGGAGCTATATATATCCCAGGCAATAAAGCATAAATGATTAGGTGTTTGGTTCATTTAGACCAGGGGTGGATCAGATCTGACTCATGGTGGACCCCATTTCCCAACAGCCCCTGCCCACATTGCTACAGCCAGTTTCCATGGAGACCTCAGGAGTGGCAGCACCATAACAGTGTGGGGCCAGGGTTTCCCTGGAGACTGGCTCCAGCAGTGCTGGCAGGCAGCACAGCTGGGTGGGGAGCTGCTGCAGGGCTGGGATCTTGCCGTGGTGACAGTGGTCCAGAGGTCTGCTCCAACTCCAGAC